GCCCCCGCCCGCGCTTCGCCGTACCAAGCCGCGACTGCCCAACGTACAAAAGGCGTGTCGTGGGTGGTGTCGGGACATTGGAGCATCACTGGCCGCCAAGTTAAGCTGCGAGCATGTTTATACCAACTTATTTTCTACGAAGAGTACCAGTACAGTACCAATATTAAAGAAACTAGTCAGTAGTAAGAACATTAAGTTACAAAAATATATATTCTCGCCATGAGTGATTACTGCTAATCATTTGTCTCAACCAATATATTAATAATTCGATGCTAACTTGAAAGAGTTCTACATTTGACAAATAGCTCCACCGCTGTCTACGTTCTCTCAAGACCTGACGTACTGTATCTGCCCAATTTAAAGGACAATGATCACCGATTAGACCAAAGACAGATGATTCCAAAGATTTGGCCCGATCGAGTCATACCGCCCACACTAACTACTCTCACGATAGTACATCTTGGACTGGGGACAGGCTAGTCTTCAAAAATTTACCACTGTCCAGCACTGGTTTGAAATGTCCGAGAGATTTTGAAAATAATAAAAATTAATAGCCTTGAGCAATGGTTTAGAATATTATATATATAAATTGATTGACATATAATCTAAATACACCGCATGGTTGTAAGGTTGTAATTGATTTGTTCTGCCTCCGTGGATAGCTGTACGCCAAGATATTAAGCTGACACATTGTTTCACTTGACCTGACGTATGTTGCACCCCTAATCTAAATATTTATTAGTTAAATACTAAAAAAACTTTTATATTGCAAAATGTATGTCCTACATACAACCAGATGTCGAGAACAAAATTGTAATGATAAAACGTTCGTTTTAAAATCGCTGTTACGTGAGGGTTGCGGCGGGCGTGGATGAACGCGAAAGCGGGTCCAGCAGCGTCGAGCGCGGCGCCTCTCTCCCCCCCCCCTCCACTCCCCATCGGCCGCTCCACCCGGCGCCAATCTCCATCTGGAGCAACGGTGCCCGGCGCGCTCCACGCCGCTCCGCGCGTCGCCCAGCGGCACGCCGGCGCGGCGCCTCGACCGGAACGGCAGCGCCGGCGGCCACGGCGACGCGACAACGCGGCGACTCCGCGACGGCCTAATTGGCCGGGTCCTTTCTGCGAGGCCCGGAGCCCGATTTCCAGCGAACACCGCGAGAGCGAGCCTCGATCCCGGTCCCGCCTTCGTGCCGGAAGAGCTCTTGCCGATGCCTCACAAACGCTCCGACAACAAAAGGAGGCTCGCCGAGAAGGAAGAATAAAAGAAAAAGACGGAAAGGAAAAAAAAATAGCGGAGGCGATCTCGGAGCGCGGAGGATACGAACTGCCAGCTACCGCCTTCCTTTTCTGAAACGCTCGAGTGGAACGTTACATTGCCGGCTCTTTTCAGAGCGGAGTGCGGCGGACACTGAAGGAAGACAGATCCTGCTCTCGGTCTGGAAAGAAATTAATGGCAGCGACGAGGACCGTTTTCGTGAAACAAAAAACCTAACTGCAAATATATATTTAGTGGGCTTTCCTTCGTCTTACTTCCATGACGAAATTCAAAATAATAATAATAATAATAATAATAATAATAATAATAATAATAATAATAATAATAATAACAACAACAACAACACTCATAACAAATAATACAAGTGGAATGTAGTTATATGCAAAACATATAGATTATTCCTACGTTTTCTGCTTGAATAATCAATCAGATTCTTGCTTCAGCATGCTTAACCGATAAACAATCTTTAACGGGTTGTAATATTTAAATTATAAGGGTGTTGCACTATTTACGAATCATTTATTTCGTTTCCATCGTTCTACGAATCGGTAATCATTTGTCTAACAGTAAATCAACAGTGATTGTTCTCTGAGTATTTGAAAGAAATAGTATATAAAGCATCATCGAATACTTAATGAAATCTGCGATAAGGGCGAAAAAAACGCAATACTAAAAAAGGGCTTACAATCACGGCTGCGAAGTCTTATAATTAATGTTCATAATTTTCCATCAAAATAATGTGTCATTCAAACGCGATATTTAACCGATAAATTATTGCAAGAATGAATATAAGCCATGATTCATGTAGCCATAAATAACGTAAGCTAATAAGTCCTTCATAGAGCAACACAGCTCTTTTTGAATTAGCTGATAGTTTCATTAACTATTTTCAACAAGTATATTTTTCCTATCAACGATTCATTTAATTAACATAAATGTCATTGTCGTTCACGAAGAGCATTCTATCATAAATCATGCGCTTGGCATCTCCGTTGTATTCATACTAATATTCCTTCGACTGTTGACGATTCATTAAGACAGCTCTCTACATCGTTTACGAAAATATTCTAGCCGTTTACAGACAGAATTAATATACAAAAGTATGAGAGGCCTCGAGCCGAGGCCTCAGAAGGGGCTGGTCTGTACTCACCGCGCAGAGGCGTCGTCTTCTGGCCCGTGGCGGCGACGCCGCGCCTGGACGCCGTCTTGCGCACCGTGGGAGTCTTCATCTCGGCGTTGTTCGCGCCACCTTTCTCTGCGGACACAACACGCGCTCCGTTAGCTCTGGGCGTCTTGGCGCCGGGAACACACTGACGGCGCAATCTCTCAGCAAACCATGCGTCCACACACAACAACACAACAGTTCTACGGCAGGCAGCGGGCGTACCGCACACACGTGCATTTGTTTTACGTACCACTACGAAGCTACTTGCAAGACACTACTTTAAGACTGCAGACACACGGAAGGGGGAAAGAAGTGTCACTTTAGGAAAATATCGCAAAGATTCAAAAATGGAAAATTCAATGACCAACGCAACTTCAATGTGACAAATTATTCTATACAAATGATGCCGCAGACCACTTACCAAGAAATCAAGACTCAGTCTTGCTCTGTGTAGACAAGGTCGAGGGATTACGTCGTACTCCACACACTGAAATACTTATTCTTTTATTAATCAAGTGTACTTCATAATGTTTTGTAAATGTATTGCACATTTCGATCCCAAATTAGCACAAAGAAAATCACATTACGTGGGGAAATGTGCGTCGAGCCGTCGCCACTCAAGTTCCAGTTGCCGAAAGACCGGCCAGCGAGAGAGCCACGTTCCACGACTGCGTCGTCCACTGCGAATTCGCCACGACCGAGGACCACAAAATTGGTAAGGGCAGAGACGAGAGGGCGCCGTGGGAGAGGACGAGCGTGTGCGCTGTCGGGGCGGGAGCGGGGGCGGAGCGCCTCGGGGCCTTCGGCGGAGCGTGCGCATCGCGTGTTCCCTCGAGGGCTCTCGAAGCAGCGCCGCGCCGAGGCGCAACGCCCAGCGCATTACGCGAAGCGCGGAGAGAGGAAACCTCCCGGCGCACCGAATATTTACAAATGGAAATGTTGTTTCCGTTGTTATTACACTGTTTACTAGAATTCTGTAAATAGTAAACTTTATAACTACACATACAAGGGGAAATAACATGTGGAGTATGGTGCCGATCAGCGATGGAGCGATGGAAAATGATTTCTTACATGGAAGACGTACAACAGGTCTGAATAAAGAGTAATAGAAACAATAAATCGATCGAAGGGTACGTTTTTCACATGTCCACTAACACAACGCAAGAGAGTAGAAATTTCTAAAGGAAAAGACAAAACGTTGCGGCAAATATAGTGAATGAGAAAGGGAAATAAGGAACTAAGAGTTCCAGGTAACATAAGAAATGGAGAAAACGAAAGAAGTGAAGATAGACTGTATAAGAGTGTGTATCAAATATTTGACATATGAAGAGATTTGAATATGTTTCTGAATAATAATATAAAATATTTTGGTATATGAAATATGAAAAGTAATGAGTTTAAAGAACAACTAGTACAGTTTAGAAGGCTATGATGATTAATCTTAGAACGTACGTAAATTAATGTTAGATGGAGTCCCTCTTTACATATGTGGGTGTTTAGTCTCCAGATTATTCCGTCAGACTCGCGTAATCATATTAAAAATGTTAAAATTTGAAATCCTGGATTTGACGGTTCAATTAAATTGTTTGGTTTTTTCTTCATATATTTTTCCGCATTTTCTAAAAAAAAAAACAATATATCGATAAATCACTAGGATAGTTATTTACGCAATATAAGTCTTGATATTCCAATACACATTGTTTTAGATAAATATCAGTATGTTTATAGAATTTTTAGATTGCTTTCCCCGTGTGCCGCACTCACCTTTATGGAAGGGCAAATGAAATACGAATGGGGAAGGTGAATGACGGAAAGCGAAGGGGGAAAACGAAGATGACGCAGGGAAGCGAAGACGACGTAGGGAAAACAAAATGGAAACGAAGAGGCCAAAGGGGCAACGGAGAGTCCAAAGGGCAGGAGTGAGGCTGGAGTGGAAGCGAATCGGACGCAGGGGGCCGAGGGCACATAGCGACGGAGCACGTGAGGCGCAGGAAGGCGTCGCGATGCGAGGCCGGCGAGTCAACGCGCGAAGGCCGCCTGGGCCCGGCGCCTGCGCCACCTGCGTGGACGCGGCCCCGCCGCCAGCACGCCACGGCCCGGCGCTCGTTGCGCCCTGCGAACCACTCCGCCTCTCCCCCCACGGGGCGACAGGAAATCGCCTACCGGCCAACCGCGATCCGCCAATTACTCTCCGCCAACGCGTGTAATGAGAGACTTCGCAAAGATCTACTCTTGACACCGTAACTTTTCATGTATGAAACGTGTGTTTACCGCAGGAAACACGCTACAACTCGTCCTCTCCTAGCTGGGTATTTAAAGTCGCGTTTAACAAAATAAACGCTCTCACGAGACTTATTGTACTTACTTGGGCAAGGGCTGTAGCAACTTATTTGGGCAAGGGCATATTTACATGCACGTCATTCTACCTGCGAATTGCGATGAACAAGTTTGCTGAAACCTCTTCACGCAAGACGCCGAAAGGCAGTTTTCGAGAGACTAAAGCATTTCTTTAATTAAATAGTAAACGCAACAAAAACGAATTTTGGGAAATAAACACTTCATTATTTAACAATTTTGCAAGAGAAGAAAGGAATATTTTTTTCGAAATTCAAGTTGGTAATTTCTCACATTTTATGTCAATCTAAACATAAAATAATGTCTGTAAATTACCGCAAACAATATTAAAATTAGTTCGCCACTACATAAACCCTAATACAAAAAATTCTCCTCCATCTTCATAACGCAGGCCGTATGGACACAAACATATTCGAGCGAAGAGCGAGGTCGGAGCCGGGTGTCATGTACGATCCCCCAAAGAAAAAAAAAGAAAAAATAAAGAAAAAAGTCGAGCCCCGGGTGCGGAAGATCGCGGGTCGCGGGGCGTCGGGAAGGGGAGCAGATGCTGCGCGCGGGTGCGGGGCGTGGCGTGGCGTGGCGTGGCGGGGCGGGCCGGGCCGGCGGGCAGGTGCCTAGCAGGTGGCACAGAGCGCGGCAGGTGCGGTATGTGGGCGCGCGCTGCTCACAGCTGGCGCCTCCCCCCGTCCCCGTCCCCCGACACTCGACACCGTACGCGGCGCCATTGGGAAAGTGCGCGCTACCCGTCCGTCCCACGCCGTTCAGTGCCCGCGCGCCAACCGGTCGCATTCGGCATATCGGCGAGTCACCGCCGCACTTTGAATAACAAATGCGCCGAGGAGACCCGGGAAAGTCAATGGTCGCTAAATAAACAATCAACTAACGCCAAGTTATGGCACTATTCTCGTATTTAGCAAAGTAAGATACGTAAAGTAAATTATCAATTCACTGATTTATTATGCACATGTTTATGTGCACTAAATGGTATTAATTATTTATAATGTCTATGCGCAACAACTTTACGAACTAATCCATCTCACTCGTTTTTCATTACGGAGAAAATATTTTTTATAAAGTGGAAAACCCATCAAAATGTCAACCTCAGAATTCCTTCCTCCTCAGATTTACAATATTAAAAGAAAACTATTTTTACTACTGTTAATTCGTTTGCATTTTCCCCAGGATTTATTTGCTAACTTTCAAACCCAAGAATTTAATGCACAAACACATGAACGTACAGGACGCAGCCCAGTGTCCCTCAATTTCCAGCAGTTTGCTTGTGCGACGTTAATTACTTGCTCGCTTAAGTGCCGTACTAGTAGATCGTGGGGTGCATTGGCTGGAATCCATTGTGTCACCTAGTGAGAGCTTCTGGCTCCACGCCAAGTTACGTGATGTCGCCGTAAGCTAGGCCAAGGATGCGCCCTAGCTCTTGCAGTCGTTGCACCCGACAGTGTCGTTTACAGGGGACTCGCTGAGTCACTAAACGGTTTTAACTTGAATAGCACTGCCTCAAAATAAGAGCATCTTTCCTTTTTTCACATTAGGTGCAAGCGAACGAAAAATTATCGAGGGTCTAAGCAATCTCTGTATCCTCACAATTTAATCGTATACTATTAATACAAATATAAACGCCGATACTACACAAGCTCCTAGGTGATTTTTTTTCCTCTAGGAATTAAATTACCTGGATATGGCAGTAGCAATAAAGCAAATCTAGGAAATTATATTTTTGTTACTCTATATAGGCAAAATAATACTAAAATACTTAGCAATATCATTGACATCTCCCGAAAACTCATTGCAAATCTATAAATATATTTAATGCAAACGTTTTTCAAACAGAGCTAATATTCTAGTCTCGTCAGTCATACAGTAAATTATATTTAAAACAATTATATTATAGAAAACATTCCTATCATACCATAAAGCCACACTTTATATTCATAAACATTCCTTCTTACCAACCTACCTTTCAACATTCCCATTCGGAAGTTACTAAAATACTGTATATACTAGGTATCTCGTCTCCACAATGCATCGTACTTCTAAATAACTTAAGGCACTGGGACGCATTACAAGCTCCCTACGGTAATTGTAAGAAAATAATATATTTAACACACCTTATACAAGTGGATAAAACATAGAGAAACATATCACCTACAAGCCCTAATAGGTCCCAATCGGTTCGTTGTTAACACAAGATCTCAGGACAAATAAAAAATTCTATGTAACGACACAGACTCTCATCTTATACAAAAACGTATACCGCCATCTGTGAGACTAATTGCACTAATTAATTCTGGAATAATATAATACATTATCAATTCTAGGCAAATGACCTCATGTTACCGCCACGCCCAATTACGATTGCAGGCCGCGCGTGGCACAGGCTTCCCAAATCTGTTCCACTTTTATCCGTGTGGTCTGGCGTTGAGCTGATTCTCCAACCTCACGTAGCTCATCCCCCAAGAAGTACAAAGATTCGGGCAGTACTGCGAGCACTCTGTCCGAACCATTTCCGGCTGCAACACAATGTAAAGTAAAGATTGTTTTAGCACCGTTTTCACCGCCCAATGCATGACCAGCTTTTTGCTAAAACACACTGGTTGTGTCTACTTCCTGGAATTAAATCCCACTTCTTATCTCACAATGATCTCGTTCGTTCAGTGGCGCATGCAGAATTTTTCTACGTGGACTGCCATAAGTGGAGTGTTCAGCCGACTTAATGCTTTCTTTTCAATAATTTTCCCATTTACCGTGAATTTAGAATATATTTTATTTGATATACGGTAATTTTAATGCCAGCTGTTAAATTATAAATTGAGATATTGAATGACATCCGTTATTATAGGAAATTATGAAAAACTACATTTGTGAATAAGTGCCGCCAGCTTCTGTGGGAGAGACAAAATCCACGGGTGCGCCAATGTGTTTATACCCTGTCCCCAGTGGTTTTCTCAAGGTGAAGCTGTGCACCTGCTTGATCAGGATGAAAGAGAATGTCGTTAGCAGCAGCAGCAGCAGCAGCAGCAGCTGCTGCTGCTGCTGCTGCTGCTGCTGCGGCGGCGGCGGAATCCTCAGCGGCCACCTCTGAAACCGCCGGTTAGTTTCGAAGCCTCATCGACTCGCAAACCGCGACCGCAAGCCCGTCGTCTAAGGCCAACGAGAAAGTTCCCCAACTGCTTTCCACACTGCCTTTTCGATAAGACGCGTTCGCGCACTCTTACAACGACGCATCAAATTCAACTCTCCTATTTTCAGCCGATTTCATCCCAAGTTAGGGCTGTCGTAAAATTCCTCAACTGCCTGTTAAAACATGTTTGAGGAAGAAGGAAACTCGATGAGCTGCAAATAACATCAGTTAATCTCAATAGGAAGGAGAAAGTGCAAGGTCCTTCGGGAAAAAATACGCCGAGTTAGGAAAGGTTATAGTAGGTCACTGCACAACAGGGCAGTTATTGTAAAGTCGAAGGAGAAGGAAAAACGAGACGAAATTCTGCGTCAAAGCAGAGATGAGCAGAAAATGGGTATCGACAAGTAATAGACGGAGAAAGAAGACTAAAGCAGTAAGAAATAGAGATATGTGAACAAGAGAAAAAAGAGGGAATTGTGATAAAAATATGTACAACACACGACGGGATGAAAGAAAGAAGAGAAGCTAGTTTCCAGGACAACGATTTGATCAAAAGAATTTCTAAGAGAGTCCGGAAGTAATTACGGATACATTACAAATCTAAGAAGGCAGATGAATTTCCGTTATTATTAACGAACGATAAAGATAATTATTTAGATCACACCACACTTAAAGTACTGTTTTTTTTACAACTCACAACAATTCGATAGCATATTCATACACTTCTGACTTCCTCACAACAGTTCGAACAAGGAAAATAACTATTACAATCGCATATCTTTTCCTAGTATTGCCTATCATTTGGTCGTAATTGTTAATGAAATCGAAAACACCACCATTCGCAAAACGTAATAGATTCCTTCCAAGAAAAGTTGGGAGATAATTGGCACGCAATAGAAATCTTATCTCTTCACATTCTTATGAGCTGTTGAGCAAAACTGCTCTTCAACAGACACTTGGACTAGGCGAACGCCGAGTGCTCTCTCGTCAGCTCCTCTTCTGCCCGTGCCTCCACGGGGTCGCAAGCGCCAAGACCTGCCGCCGCCGCGCACGGCTACCGTGCAGTGCCACCGCGCCTCGCGTGCGCCCCGCGGGGTC